AATAGAGCAGATGTGTCTCCTGCTGGTAAGTGATCTGTGCCGCACATAGACGCCAGAACACCAAAGGAGTCACAGGCGCGTTGCCGGCCTTTTAAGTAGCACATATGCTCGTCTCTTGAAAGTCGTATAGGTTCAGAACCACTATCGAGACTCGAGAAATCATTCCAATATATATATATCTGGGTATGGCCTCAAGAAAGTATCATCATCATATCAAATTGATATGATGATGATACTTTCTTTCAGGAGGATAGGCCATAGTTACTTTTTTTATTTCTAAAAAGATGCCAAAACTGGTGTCGTAAATATATAATATAAGACTCAGTGCCGGTCCAAAAAATAGATACCAAGAAAAAAAAGTTGGCAGAAAAATCACCTTTTCGGAATATTTATCGCTCTCACTTACAACTGAAGGCACACACAGCAGCAAGGCGCTACCTCCTTGTACCAACACCGGCCGGAGTAAACACCGCGGTCGCCTTGTTAACCTAAAACGTTAACAAGGATCGGTCAGCACTTAGCTGTACCCTGTTAACTTGGTGGACAAAGCACGGATTTGTTTACAACGCCTAGTTGCAGCGTAAGTGGGCTAATTGTTGATAGAATGTCGGTTGGACCTGTTACAACCTCTATGTTTAGGTTATTGCAAATGTTAATGGCGTTTTTGAGTTTTGTTATTTATTTGGAATAAAATTATATTTTCTCAACATTTGCACGTGAGTAACCCGCGAATTTTAGTTAATTTAGTATGTCTCACGATAGTTATTATAAAAACAATAAAATTATAGTCTAAAATTAAATTAAATTATCTAGCATTGCATACGAATTTTAAATTTATATATTTTATTTTTATTTCGCTTCAGCATTAGGTATATTAATTTCATATGTATCAAAATCAACCTACTTTCCCTTAATTCTGCTCATTTTATTGTCATCAATTGGATATCTTAAAATATGAGCTAAGTATTTTACTAGTTAACTTATCAGAAATGTAAGTTGCTCAAAATGATTCATCAATTATTCAATGTGACAATTTTTAATAATAATAATTTTTTTATGGAATAGTAGCCAAAAGAGCGTACGGATTACTTGGTGGTAAGTGATCAGCGGCGCCCAAGAACAACCCACGTCACAAGGGCGTTGCCAGCCTTTTAAGAAGGAGTACCCTGGTCGTCGGGTGATCTTGAAAGTCTGAGTATTGCATCGGTTCGAAAATTTTGCCACCGAAAGAGATCCTCAAAAAGTTTTACCGTGCAAGTTAGAAAATCTTGCTAACATAGACCATTTGTAGTCAACTGTCATAATAATATGTTTATGATGTTTCGCGTGGCGTGTTCGGTGGGGAAATATGGCGGGGTTCAAACCAGATAATCCCTCGTTGCGCTCTCGTGGAACTTACTCATAGCTGAAGTTAAAACACAAAACTTTGGGGGAAAACACACGGAACACGTTAGCACATCATAATGTTATACAATAATATTACCTACATACGTTACAGTTTGCTGAACTTATAATTTACACAGAATGATAATTTGTATGAGTATTGCAAATATATAAGACAAACATCCGGTGTATTATAAGGTCTAGCGTAGATGTAGGTATGGATCACACGCTAATATTCACAATTTTAGCGCCATTGGGTGCAAAGGGTAATTTTGTTCACGGATCTTATACGTAAGCGATGATGAAATACATTTAAGTGTGGGAGAGTTATGCTTCGGCACTAGCGGGTCGGCTAGACCAGAGTGATACCACAACCTCGCAGGCCCTATCCTTCCCCTCCCCCGATCCCTAAATCTCCAAAACCCTAATCCCCAAAAGAACGGTAACGTACATAACGCCTGCATGTGTCCACGGGCGGCGCTGATTGCTTACCATCAGGTAATCAGCCCCCTCGTTTGCCGTCCTACGAGGGTCAAACTGAAAGTTCTTAGAAAATCAAAAACTGATTACATTAGCCAGTTATTCGTTTCATTAAGTATATCTTTTCAAAATATTGTCCATTCACGTCAATACACCGCTGCATGCGATGGAACTACTGGGAAGAGCACTTTGCCCACTCGTCCTTAGGGGTCTCTTCAATGGCATCGCGATACGCAGCCACCGCTTCTTCAGCATTCATAAACCGATTTACTTTAAGGTTTTCTTATTTTTTTGAAAATAAATAAAAATCGCAAGGCACGATGTCGGGGGTATACGGCGCGTGACCCAGTAATTCAACGTTTGATTTCGCCAAATAGTCGATCGTTCGCTTGGGGGTGTGCAACGAGGCGTTGTCGTGGTGAAGGAGGATCCTACTGCGAGGTCGTTACTCTCGAACTTTTTCCAAGACAAGTGGCAAACATTCATACCATTCTAAATGAATGAAAGATTATCGCATAAATCATGAACAAGCTTAAGTACCTACTACTTTAACAATAACTTTGTTCAGTTTCAGCCGATTAATTCCCAGATTTTTGTTAATAATATCTTAATCTGCAATTTTATCCTAGATGATTATGGCAATGTTAGCTGTAGTAGACTAAGTTATCTACATATTTTAATTGTGTTGTAGTGATGATGAGGGAAATAAAACAAAAAATTCTCCTGCATTTTAGTGTGGCTTTCAATTCTTTTGTATGACTTCCACAAAAACTTCTTTTAAGAGAATTTATCAAAAATAAAAATAAAAACGCTTTTATATTTTTAGCAAACAGCCTGAATAAATTTCACAAGGCAACTCGTTCAGTGGACGAGAGTGACTATTCTGTTTGCCCTCTACAAAGTAAACAAGCACTTTAATTAAGAGTGCAGCTAGCGAGGTTGGAACTGGGTTGCCGTGGGGGTGTGACCTAAGTGTGTGTTGACCCCCTACTGCACTGAATTTTATGCCGTATGTTAGAAACTCTTTGATGAATTGCTAAGAGGTTGCTGGTCTGTCACATAATTTAGGGCTTAATTTAGTATTAGGCATGTAACTAAAGAGTTTTTCTTTTAGGGCTTATAAATTAGTCATGTCTGTTTGTCTGTCCATCCGGATGTCATAGCCAATAAATAACAAAAATAATCCCGCCTCTTCAACATCGAAAATAAGATAATGATTAAATAAAAAAAATAAGATGTAGGTACTGTCTTTGTTTAAATAATCAAACTAGAAATATTCTTATCTATAAGTAGATATTTTTTATTTTTAAACTTAAAAATAATGTGTAAACCATTTTTTCTTTTAATTAAAAATATCCTAAAATAAAAATCAAATTCATTTACTTATTAATAAAATATCTGAACACCAAATTATTATTAGCTTTAAAATAAACATTAATAAATAATATTCTTAACAATGATTTGCAAGACAGAGACAAAAGTATCCACCTCTCTTACTTACGCAAATATTAATTCACAAATCGAGAATCGATATCGCACTGTGCAGTCTCACGGATTGACGGTCGTTAATTCTTAAATCCACGTAATTAAAGATATGGTAGAAATAAATAAATGTATTAGACGAATGACTTACGATGCCTCGCGGACTGAGGCTAATAAAATAAATGAAGAGTCGGCAATGAAGCGCTGTATGCATTGTTGAATGGAGAAAGATAGGTAAGTCGAGAATTGTGGGTTTTGAAATTCATTCCGAAAATATTGACAAAAGAAAACTTTGTACTATTTTCGTTGTTTTTAAGGTTGTTTAGGGATTTATGAACCTTTTTATTTGAAGATTTTTTTACCGAAAAAAATTTACTTATCTATTTTATAAATTTACAGCTTAACCTTTATTTACTCAATAGTTTTAAATGGAATCAATAATTTTCGACTTATACAAGTTTCTGTTTGTGTGTGGTGCGCAAGAGTTGGTCCAAAGCAATTGATTAGCCGGCGCCCTTTGAGCACTGTGCCGACGCTCACAACAATTTGCTCGCGGCCCGACCGCCCTAATTTTAATGGGCTTATAAAATTTATATTTAATGTATTTATCATGCGTCGGATTAGTAAGGATATAGTGTTTGTCGATAAAAAATCCAAAGTCAACAAGTTTAGGAAATATTTCCTATTTTTGTAAAAAATAGTTGAAAATTGTATAAAGCGAAGTATCATTCTAAAATAAATACGTAATCAACAAATTAAGCTAAATAATTAAACACTTTGAGGCAAAATATACATTGTTACTCAGATGCCGAATCAAATACGTAGTAACAGATCGAAATTATAATATACAACTGAATTATTTTATAACAAGTGCATCTTAATAAATCAAAATCAAATCAAATAATTTACTTGCGTTTATGAAACAATTAGGTCACAAAACAGAAAATATTATTATAAAACATGTAAAAACAAGGAAAGAAAAGAACAAGATAAAACCTGAAAGTACGCGAAATGGTCCTTGCGCAGCGTATCCACCAACCAGCGAGACAGTGTCGCGGCGCTGATTTTCAACAATTGCCGACACTAGTACCCGTACTCCTAGTCTGTCATTACTAAAATAATATTTTTACAATCCATTTCAAACTGACTTGAACCACAACCGTAGTTGCGGGCGTCCTGCACTGATTGCTTACCAGGTGATCCGTTTGCCGGTCCAAAAATATAACTAAAAAAGAATTATGACGTCACCAAAGTTCAGTCCACTTGTTTCTTTCGTGATATGACTAAGTATACTCATAGTATTGTTTTATTGTGGTGTACGCGCGGTGTGCATTGAACGCATACTTACATCCGCGGCGCGGCGTCTAGGTGGCATCCAACCTGCTATGGACGTTTCGATATACTTAGCAAACTGACATAATGTGGGTAAAAGTTTGTATTGTATATATGTATATATAGGGTTGTTATAGTTAACATATTATTAAATAGTGGAAAGGCAAGATTAATTGTTAACTAGTTTATTACAATATTTTTTATGGAATAGTTCGGCAAAGAAGCAGACGGATTACCTGATGGTAAGCAACCAGCGCCGCCCATGGACTTTTCTTTTCAGGATGAGGGTTTTGGATATTTAAGGATTGGGAATGGATGGAGGGATGGGGAAGTATTGGGAACTCCGGTAACCTCACATGGCGAAAGAAAACTCTGTGGTTGTTTCTATAATTTTGGCAAAAACAATTAATTATGCGTCTTCAACGTTGCTAACGTTCACAGTTCTGCAAAATGTTCTTACATTTGCAAAACATAATTAAATATTACTTAATTATTATTTGAACAGTCACTACACTACGCATTCACCAGATTACTCGGAATGCATTTTTTTAACTATCTTTCAGCTAGATTTGTTAGTTAGATACTTATTTGCGAATGGCAAACTGATCTCTATCCGTCATCAAACTGCTCTGCATCATGACACCAACCACAAAATTCAGTTATTCTAATTTAGATTTTATCTTTTCTTTTTATAGTATATCGTGAGACATCGTTAACTTACTTACGTTATTATACTGAGAAAAACTCTACTAGTCTCAAATCACAATAGCGCTTTCATTCATAAGCAACGTATGCGACGTAGCGAACTGACTCATCATCATCATCAGCTCATAAGTGCCCACTGCTGAGCAGAGGCCTCTTCTCACACGGAGAAGGTTTGAGCATCAATCACCACGCTTGCTCAATGCGAGTTGGCAATTTCAAACTAATAATTAAAAATTATAAGTCCAGGTTTCCTCTCGATGTTTGTGGTGTCTAAATAATCATAGAAAGTTTCGGACCCACACCCTCATACATGAGAAGCGGGCTCCTTAACCACCAGGCCACCACGACGACCGAACGACTACGTACTGGCGAACTGACTACGTCTGTCTATTATAATTATAATAATATTAGGTTTTTATCAAAAGTTAGATGAAGTTTTTAAGTTGAACAACTCTCTAAACTCCATAGATATAAATACTACTATTCGTTTTTGATAAAGGCAATTTTTCTGAAGATAAGAATTAATTTAACTTGAATATATGGATTCAATAATATAATTTGTTACAATGTCAGAAGCACCGTTCTTTATTTCATCCAAAAATTAATTATGAGCCGGACTTCGGTAACCGAAATCAATCCGGAGTCAAGAGAGCGGAAAATTTACTAATTTTCCGCTGGAGCCGCTGACGCAGTCCTCAGCAAGTTGAAGAGCCAGATTTATACAAAAGGTAACCTTGATTTATAGTTCTTTACGAGGTACTATAAGCAGTCTATCTATCTACACTATCCTTTTGGTACAGACTTAAGCCAGACAAAATATTATTTGCTGAAAGAAAGAGGTTCAGGTTATGATTGGATCTTAAACAATGTAGCTTATACATCTGCATGTAGAATTGGTATTTTTAAAAATCCAAAGAGATAACCTTCTTTTTCGTCCTGGTATTTAAACGCTTCACTTTGTACTTGACAGCAATAACTACAGATCCTAACAACCCTGAACGCGTTAAAATCAAACGACTTTATTTAGATCTTATTTCAGTTCTGAAAAATAAAAAGGTCAAAACAATAGAAAACATACATATATTATCTTATTAGATAAAATATATATCAATAATAAATAATAAAATTTTAATTAAAAAAAATATTCTTACAGATAAAACAAATGACGCTTACAAAGTAAACTGCATTCAACCAAAGCTTCAATGGTGCTTTCATTAATGTTTTAGAAGTATATCTATGCACTATAGCATCTCCATTGATAGGGTGGTGAATGCGACACGTGCAGCGGACCCTAGACCTACCCCACAAGTAGGGGAAATCGATGGGTGCACACACGCAGTGCCGCGCATGCGTGACGGAAAGCTTCAGGTACTGACGCGTAGAGAAGTCATTGAAACGGTGCTTTTCTGAAATGTTGTTTTTTTATTATATATATGTATATTTGGTTTTATAAAAAATGATCATACTTTTAATGTTTGTTTGCTCATACTTTTATAAAACTAAACATATTGTTAATATGTTCTAAAACTTAGTGTTTGTGTAATCAAATTCAATACAAGTTGTTGAAAATAAAGTTACATGTGTCTAAAATTTATAGATTTAAAATATTCATTAAGCATTATATTGTGTATATTAAGAAATCAAGTCAAAATACTGGATTCGTAACAAACCATAGAAAAAACAGAAGTAAGTTTAACAACACACATTACTTCCAATAAAAATACTATACAGCACATTTTAATACAAAAACTTGCTTAGAAACCTTAAATTTATTTGAGTTCATAAGGTCCTTATGAACTTTTGAAGATAAACAACGTCAATAACTGTAAAGAAAAACTTTGGTATCGTTTGCCAAAAAGCTCGGTCCAAGCTATTCTGTGCGCGACATTACTGCGGCCGACTCCAGTCACACTTTGCGCCACAACCACTACCGAAGGCCCGCGTGAAAAGCCAGTCCACTTTGAAAATAGAACCATCCTGTGTATTAATTGATTCCGTTCAATTACTCTGCGTGTCAAGCGAAGATCATGTAAGTACAATTTTCAGTTGCTTTTTTAATACAATAAAGTTGATTTTTCATTGAATTTTTCTGCCGGCTCTAAGTTGGTTGTGAACTTAAAATTGTTTTTAATGAGTCATTTTAATTTTATATCATATTATTCTTTCACGTGTTTTTTATTTTTTGAAGTGATTTAATACTTTTTTTTACAAGTTACGAGTTTTTTTTAATTTAGTTTGTTATCAAGTACGTTCTTATGTAGGCATGTGTAGGTAGGTAAATAAATTTATAAAAGTGTTCAAAAAATATACGATTCAGTGTTGCGTGTTAGGATATTATAGTATTTGAAAAAGAAATGAAGTGTTATAGTCAGAAGTCATGTTAGAAGCAACAGTTTTGAATATTTAAGTTGAAATTTTATGAAAGCAGTGTTAGCTTTAGTACCGGGACTGTTTCGTTATATATTTTATTTATTAGAAGCAGACAATAAAAACTTTATAGGAAGCCCATGACAAACGAATGAAAATTATGAATTATTTGAATAAAGACTTAGAATAAATCAGCCATTAGCGAAAGCTACCACTACTGCTATGCTGCAGAGTCTGGATTCTTTTATGCATGGATTGAATTAAACAGGGCATAGAGAAGGTCATTTAACCTTTTTATCTGGGTCTATTGGTTCAATTCGTAATGGTTTGAAAGTTGTGACTAATAAAATATTGTATAATGAAAACTATACTTCAGTTTTTCCTAAAAATAATCTTAATTTAACTAAGAGGTAAGAAAAGGAAGCATGACCAATCTGATATAGCTTCCTTTTAAATGGGTTTAGTAAATAACTTTTAACTGTATGTGTGTGTGTGTGCAAAGCAAAACCTCTTTTAATACAGAGATATAATCACCATGATCAAGGTGAATTGACCCAGTTTCTTATGATTTTTCCGTCTTCGTATGAAATCAATGGCATGATAATTTGAGAACGCATATATAACACAGTGAATTTATATTAACACCTGCCATTATTTGACACCGGATCCTTAAACATTAGAAGTGGGCGACATTACTACCGGATCACCACGACATTTCCTGACCCTTGTATTTTTACACGGGTGTAAATATTATCTTCCACCACAGCTTTTCACAGTTAATTAAGTATTTCTAAAACACGTACTAAGTATTTATTAATAAAATGTTATTCTGAAAATGAATATTAAAGATAAAATATTCAACCTTACTTCGTTCCTGAAAAGATTAGCTTTCAGTTTTCTTCATGAAGTCTTTAGTCGTAAAAGTTGCTTACATTTTGATTAGCTTGTAGCTGCGCGAGTTTTCAAGGCCACGGTTATTGTATTGCGAAGAAAAAGGTTTTCGTTTGTTCATTTTTTTAAACTTATTGTTTGATATGAAAATAGGAAAGGGAAATTGATTCTCTTAGGGAGTAAGTAGGTTTTAGGTCTTCAGTTGTATTTTTCTCACATGATCCATGTTGTTGTGTTTCATAAGGTACATAATAATTACACGGATGAATCAAGGGCCTCATACAGAAGGGTTTTTGTCTCTGAAGCTCTAACGGCCAGTAGATTACACCAAGTTTTCGCTGCAATTTTAAAGTTAAGAATGATTTTAGTGTAGTTGTATTTTGAGAATTGTTTAAATAAATATGTGGAAAATGATAATATAATTTTTAGTTTACTGTCTCGTTATTGAAGTTTCTCGAGCGGGACTAATGACCAAGGACTATTGGCCTTGAATAAGTCAGGTATTAGTATATGCTATTGTTCGAATGTTTTTCGAGTCGGTATATCATAACTATGAGAATTTAGGTGTAGGTATTTTAACCATTACAATCATTATTCCACCATGAAGCTGATGTATCGTACCTAATAAATAGTATTCCTACATCAAATCTAGGTCTCCAAATGAAAATGCATTCAATCTCTGCATTTGGATGAAAATTTCCGCATCGTCAGTGGTTGCCTCGCTTTCCATAATAATGACGTCAGTTGGCGAATTGCCATGTTCCCTATTGATTGGTCCATCAGCAAATAAGTTTTATTTTGTTATTTAAGCTTTTGCGGTTCGATCCATCGACCCATTTTTCATGTTAATCTATTGTACCCTCATGGAACCTGGTCTGTAAAACAGGTAAATATGTATCGTATATTGTATCCCACACATCATCAGCCTATAAGTCCCCACTGCTAAGCAAATGCATCTTCTCATACAAGGAAGATAAGAAGGTTAGGTAACCACGCTTGCTTAAGGCAGATTGGCGATTTTTAACTTATAATTAGAAATTATTAGTCCAAGTTTGCTGCCGATATTTTCCTGCACTGTTTGTCAGTGGCGTCCAAATAATCATAAAAAGTTCACATACCTTGGAAAAAGTAACATTGGCCCTTGTCAGGTTTTAAACCCTCCACGACAATAGTATGTTGTATGATTTATTTAAATTCTCTATAGCTTTATAACTCTTTGAAGGTTTCTTTACGTGGAAAAGCCTTTTTTGAATTTTCCTAAATGACACAAATAGTTAAGAGTAAAATTAAGAAATCTGTCTTTATGGTTATCCGGGGTTGCGGGGTAAGCGCAATGAGCCGCGGCCTCGGCCCAGAGCAGGAGAAGGAACGTGGGAGTTTTTAGTCAGTAGGAATCTGACACTCTCTTACACCCTGGGCTGGAGAAGTCATTCGATGATGGTAGTAACTAAGTTTGCTTATAAAAATGTCTTTTAGAAATTATCCCACCCCTTAGCTACCAATACATCGATTATATCGAATTTGTTAAGTGAAAACGATATGCATAAATCACACGCTAATTATATAATCGATACAGCTAGTTCATTATCAAGGCTAAACGCTGAAACCATGTGTGTTTCACACGCATTGTAGAAACTGTTTTATTATTAAACAAGGTTGACGATTTTCCTTGTGCCTGTGTTGGCTTGAGTTAATTTTCTATGTAAGGTTATCAAATGCCAAGGCTTTCTATTACTGCTTAGCTTTTTATTTATCCAGTTTTTTGTTGTAATAAAAGGAATATAGAGTTCAAAATGGGTTAGATTTTCACATAATGTGTTGTTTTATTGTGTACTAGCTACTTTCGTGCGGTTTCACCCGCTGATCGGTTTTTTTTAATCGTAGCGTGATGTTTTATAGTCTATAGAACTCAGGAACATTGTAGCTATTTATCAGTGAAAGAATTTTGGAAATCCGTCCAGCGGTTCCAAAGATTATCCCTACATACAAACTTACAATTTTACCTCTTTATAATATGAGTATAGATTTAAAACTTTAGCCTATATTGTTGAGTCTAATATCGTGTCATATTTGTTTGACTATACCTATATATGTATGTTGGCCGTGGAGGGCCAGAGGTTAAGGCGCCCGCTTCTCATGCTTGAGGGTGCGGGTTTTAAGCTTGGCTCACCCAGGGTTGCGGGGTAAGCGGAATGAGGCACCGCGACCTCGGCCTAGAGCAGGAGTAGGAACAGGGGGGTTTTTAGTCAGTAAGAGTCTGACACTCCCTCCCGCCTGGGCCCTGGGCGGGAGAAGTCAGTTGATGATTTTCCCCTCACAAAAAAAAAGTTTGGCATGTACTAATGTGACTTTTCCGAGGCATTTGTACTTTCTATGATTTATTTAAAGACCACTAATATACAGTGGTGGAAAACATTGTGAAGAAACCTGGACTTATAAGAAAGCATGATGATTAACACTCAAACTTTCTCCGTGTGAGAAGAAACCTTTGCTCAGCGGTGGACACTTAGAGGCTGATGATGATGGCTGAGCTGATATTCTGTACCTTCATTTTTTATTTATTTATTTATTTATTATAGGCTAGCCAACAATTGTTTACACTAAAAGAACATTGTAGATATAAACGAAAAATACATTTGCGAGCGTAACAATCACTTAAAGGCTAACACCGCATGCACATTAAACGGCTTGAATTAAAATTATAATGGCTAAATTAAACGTAAATAATAAATTATGACAAATATTTGAGTCATTAATAAAATATTTAGGTCTTAAGAATAGGTTAGTTATATAACATTGGAATAAATAATAATAATAATAACATTTTGACATTATTTTAAATTACTACAAAAAAAAATATAAATTAAGATGAATGCTGATACGATTAAAATAAATACACATTATATTCAAATAGAAAATATTAGTTTTAAATTGAATTAATTAGGCTACGTCGATTAAATTAGTTGATACAATAATTATATTATAATTATATTATAATATATTACAAAAAATTATTCTTTTGTGGCTGAGTGACTGACAATTACTTTTATGATTTTATTAATATTATCCTGGTTTATATCCATTAAGTCACTACAGCTATTAAATAGTTTACATAGCCTAGGTATAGGAGATTTTGTGCCAAGTACAGTTCTTCGTAGTGGTGGGCATAGTGGTGTGATGATGTTTCTAGGGTATCTAGATGGAGCATGGAATCTAATAAGGCTCAGTAATTTAGCGCTATCAATTCGATTTCTTATTATTTTGAATAAGAAAATTGCGTCAGCAACGTCTCTTCGTGTGGATAATGAATGCATTTTGAAATGGTGCAAGCGGGTGTTGTATGAGGGCAGCTGCTTAGATCTCATTTCGCAGAAAGCTAGGTGCCACACAAAACGCTTCTGTACTCTTTCTAACCGCAGCATATGAGTGGCATAGTGAGGCCTCCACACAACACTGCAATACTCCAGAATACTTCGTACGAGACTGTTGTATACCATTACTTTAGTGTTGCTTTTACGAAAACCCTTAGTACTACGAAGTAGGAAGCCTAACATTTTAGATGATTTCTTTATAATGTGTTCAATGTGAGGTATGAAGGTTACTCTTTTATCAAATAATACACCTAGGTCCTTGATCAGTTCGAGTTCTTTTACCTTAGCTTGATTAATGGAGTAATCTGTATTGACATTGTTATTTTTTCTCGTAAATGTAACGTGGTAACATTTGTCAGGATTCAGTTGCATTTTGTTATTTTGACACCATTCAATAACCCTGTTAAGGTCTTCCTGTAGAGGATCATTGTCAATAGGGGAATCAATCATTCGGCCAAACTTCAGATCATCGGCATATAAAAACGGTTCTGAATGAAGCAAGCATTGGGGAAGGTCATTAATAAATATGTTAAATAACATCGGAGCCAAATGTTAACCCTGAGGGGCGCCAGAGGTTATTATGTGTTCTGAAGATTTAAATCCGTTCACAACAACGTAGAAATAGCGTTCGGTTAAATATGATTTGAACCATTCTAGCAAGGACCCTGATACTCCATAAGCTGCAAGTTTGTAGATTAATAAGGCATGTGACATTTTGTCAAATGCCTTACTGAAGTCCGTATATATTACGTCAAATTGTTTATTTTTATCTATCGTCCGCATAAGTGACTCCGTGAAGGTCATATAGTCAAGTTCGTGGTTGTCGATCTCGCGGTACCAAAACCATGTTGATCGTCACTAAGGTACTTTTTAAAATGATGCTGAATATATGGACAAACAATAGACTCAAAAATCTTTCCAAAAACGGAGGAACTTTTCATCTCTTGAGTATTATTTTATCTTATACAAGTCGAATATTATATGTCGCTTTTCCCATAGTTTCCAGTCAGTCACCCTTGTTGTCACCCCCCAGGGAGCTATAATTGCCACCCTAGATGAATTAACGAAGCTAATGGTTTTCGTTTAGTTCGTTTTTACAAAGTCGTTAACCCCAAACTAGGTTTGGTTACAAGCAAAATATTAATTTGTATGAGTACGGTCGTAAAGCATTTTTCCTAAAAAACTATTATTTTCGGTTTGACGTTTTATTGTCCTGGTACTTATTTGTATTGGCAGATGAATGATTGTTTTTATAATAACTATCGTGAGACATACTAAATTAACTAAAATTCGCGGGTTACTCACGTGTACATGTTGAGAAAAGCTCTACTAGTTTCGAACCACAGAGGTGTTAATTTAACCGCGTCCGCGCACGCTGCTCATGAGGAAGAACCCCTCTGTGGTTCGAAACTAGTAGAGCTTTTCTCAACATGTACACGTGAGTAACCCGCGAATTTTAGTTAATTTAGATGAATGATTGCGTTTTAACTACGACGTCTTTGAGAGAACGACAGCGATAGGTTTTAAAACATTTTTTGTTACTGTATCAAGTATAGAAGTAGCATATTCCTCCGTGAAACAGTTGTGGTGATGACTTCTTTCAAAATGTTTGCGTCTTCTTCAAGTCTTAAAAAAGTATTCGAAGGTTTGGTGACCCCAATACAATCTATGTTTGCACTTTGTTTAAAAGAAATAATAAGGTATAGCGTGACTTCATTGCAGTAATAAATAACAGTAGTTGCTACAACAGCTAGTACTTGAACACGATTAAAAGATTACGTACGTATACTTAAAGTATAAATCATTTTTAATTCTTACATATTTAGTCTTTTATGTAAAAACAATGACTATCGTATCATTTTGAGCTTAATTTTGGAACTTCTCCAAATCTCTAGTGACTGTAAGTAAAATATATCTTGGAATCGCTCAACTCTTTAAATTACTTTATTTTATACTTTTCGTTTAAATTTTTTTAGAAGTCGGCATGGCGACAAGATTTTTGGTCTTTCCGATAACTTAAATAATTCTTTTAATAAAAATCAATCAATTTGGATTTTCTATGCAGAAATATTCTAAGTACACATTTAATGCTTGTGAGAGCTTATCAATTAAATAATTTGTATTTTTGCCATTATTTGCCATAGTTATAAATACATATGTTATCATTTGCCATTTCCGACATCAGCCATTTTATTGTTAGTTATTAATTAACAATAATAGATTTATTGTTTTTAGAAAATTTATAATACTTATAAGGATAATGAAATTTAAAAATTAAAATGAGGATAGTGAAAATAACCTGAATGAAGTTGTCCCCAATAGTTTCAATTATAGGCGTCACCGAACTCCATTAAATTAACACCATGTCACGCTGTCAACTACACGTTTACCGCAGTCATTCTTTACCCTAGTTTCCCCACTGCGGATTTTACGTAAGATGGCTCATACTATGAACATAAAACCTACTGGTAAAGTTTGCAATATTTGGCAAGTTTTCAAAGTTTCTACTTAGCACAGTATTTTGTTTGACACACTACTCATAAAGAGTTTAAATTATGTTAAGATTTAGAGAAGTTTGATGAATAAGGACTGGGAAATTAATGTTTATTAGTCTAATGGACCAACCAGTGCAACTTACTATTCTTTCGAGGGTTCGGTAGTTAGAACGGTCTTTATTAGTCTGATACTCCCTGTCGCTCTACTTAGGGTGGGAAAAGACTACGAAGGTTATCTCTCAAAAACAATATTGTTCTTGATTTGACCTGTTTTCCAAGTCTTGATTTATTTCCTATAGTGTATTTACCTTCTTTAATAAAAAATAACATTGTTTTTAAACGTTCGTCAAAAATATATATAAAAGAGATATTCGGAATTTAATACACCTCAACATTTTGGTTTCAAAAATTTGTTACTACCTTAGACCTTTCCCTTTCCAGGGCTGCCGAAGCTGGTCCCGCTCAACCCGGGTTGGCCCCACCGGAGGCAGAAACTGGACCCGATGGAGAGATCATTGGAGGACCTCGCACCCCTCAGCAAATTGCTGCACAAAGGAGGTTGCAACAGACTCAAGCTCAAGTCGATGAGGTATGTAGCTCTCGTAAGAAAACAATAAAGCTTAAGATCGTATAAATTTGCAATTCCCATTAAAAAACCAGGTAAAACTGTTTAATAGATATTTTGGAAAGTCAAAGTCAAAAAATGTCAGTGTTTGCTGTGACAAGTTTTAAGATATCCGTTTTGATTTGGAAGAGGAATTCGCATTATGTGTACTTTTAAGATTAGTAAATAAGTATAAATACCTATTTACGTACCTTTGGTGCTTGGATTAATCCTTTCTGTGTGATCTAGGTGGTGGACATAATGAAGACAAATATGGACAAGGTGCTTGATCGAGATGTGAAGTTATCAGAACTGGATGACAGAGCAGGTAAAAGACTCCAAAAGAACTAGTTTTGAGTGTCTGAAAAAAATTCAAGCAAAATATATTTAATGGAGTCGCTCAGCGAGCTATGGAAAGGGCTATGCTTGGAGTCTCTCTGAAGGATCGTATTCGAAACGAGGTGATCCGACAGAGAACTAAGGTTATCGACATAGCCCAAAGGATTAGCAAACTTAAGTGGCAGTGGGCAGGTCACATCTGTCGAAGAACCGATGACCGATGGAGTAAACGTGTTCTAGAGTGGAGACCACGTCTAGGCAAACGTAGTGTAGGGCGCCCTCCAGCTAGGTGGACTGACGACATCCGCAGGGTGGCTGGCAGTGGTTGGATGAGAAGAGCTGAACATCGAGCTCAGTGGCGTGCAATTGGGGAGGCCTATGTCCAGCAGTGGACGACAACAGGCTGATGATGATGATGATGATGATGATGATGATGATATTTAATGGAAAATGTATATACAAACATTTCTGTGAAATTCATAATTGTCATTTTCAAAATACTTACAGATGCGCTACAGTACGGAGCATCACAGTTCGAACAGCAAGCAAAGAGCTTGAAGAACAAATTTTGGCTACAAAATCTTAAGGTAAAATCTGAATTCTATCCAATTTCAATTATTTCTTCTTGTGATCACAAAAAATCTAAAATTCCCTCCTAAACGAGGAAACTGATTATTTTTTGTCTTGGAAAATAAAGAAAAAGTTTCACTCTATATCATGTGTTTACTTACACAAGTGCTTAAGATTACTGATAGAATATTTCGGATTGCAGATGATGATAATAATGGGTGTGATTGGGATCGTCATAATAGGCCTACTATTTGGTAAGTATCAGGAATGAATACAGGCACAATGAATTGGTGTTGTCAAGTGAAGCTTAGCAGTGTTACTTGCAATGTTGTGTGTGGGTGGGGTGAGATGGAACTTGACTTAAGGAGGCCTTCTATTCATCCCAGAAGAGGTACAATTACAGGCTGATGTTTTATGTGAGGAGAAAATCTTCTTAAGACTTCTCTAACCCAGATTAAGACGAGAGAGAGTGTCAGAATCTAACTGTCTTAAAACAACTTAACCTCTTCCCCTTCTCCAGCTCCGGGCTTCCTAGTTAGAGGCTGATGATGAGGTGTGATCTTTTAGCCTTTTAGTTGAGGTTTTTACGATAGATGATAAAGTACTCGTAAATGTGACCAAAATAAACTAGGATGACTGAAGATGAAAACAAATCTCAGAAAAAGACTGATAAAGGACTGATATATTGAATTAAATATAAAACCAATATTTTTGTGTTATTTTAAAATAGGGTCATTTAATATTAATTAAAACAGCACCGCTTTTGGAAGACCAAATGATTTATGTAATAGAGTAGTCATTATTTGCTAAGTTGTAGGAGTGAATGTAGACCAATTTTCTTATCGAGATTTTGGGGTATGTGCTTTATATATTTTTACGAAAATTTTAAATGAAATATTGGAAATTCGTCATAAATTATTCAAGTTCTATCTCACACCATAAACAACTTAATCGTAACGTCTGTGATTGCCTGGAAACTGTTAGTTGTGCATTTGACCCTTCCTTATACCTCTGGATGTCTATAATAACTTAGATTTGTTAAACCTTATTCCAAATTAGCAATTGGCTTATTGTTTCTTCTTCCAAATTCTTGGATTCTTTGCTAACTTGCAAATTCTACATACTCTTTGACAACCTGTCCATTCATTGCAAGAACCGTTACATTCAAAATATACATAAAAGATAATGAACAATGATTTATTTAAATATGGGCAGATACTGAAACAAAACTAAAAAACTGTTTTTTTAGTATTTAAGACTCTCAAAGTTTATAATGATTATATGAAATATGGAATACATAAAGTATTCAATATTTCCATATTTACCTACAGCATTAGGTAAATAAGTGAACAATTTTGAAAATCGAGAACAATTAATTCATGCTAGACACAATTAAAATTCCACAGTCTGTTTTTGAAACGATTTTTTTCTAAAGTTGTTGCACAGAACTTATTTGAAAACCAAACTTCTTGGTGTTACATAGCACTGTTAAGGGCACCATTTGATTGCAAAAGCAAGAAACAATTTTAAATAAAATCGATAAAAAATAACACCTTTGTGAGCATGTGTGACCAACACAATATTGTCCACTGAATGTTTTACACCCTGATCTTTAACACGATGAAAAACAGACATTAATTGAGGATGCTCATAGTAACATTAAATGAAAATGGAAAATCGTCCTCTAAATGAGGGATTGCTAAGAAGGAGCAGTACCCTTAAAACAAATCAAACACTTCTAACAAATAATTTCCAAAACAAAGCACGAACACCTCGTCCTGTGTAGCAGCTAGTTGCTTCGACGCATATGTTCTGCTTACCGCTCTTTGCAGGTGATAACATTAAACAAATGTTTGGTTAGTTCGGTACCGAAACTCGTCGCCTATTCCGGGGCCGGCGATCGTAGCGACTGGTAACAGTACCGTGGCAGTCAACACTGGCCATTGTAAGTAATAAAAACTTTTACTTCTTCTTCTTTCTCTCTCTTTCTTTCTTTCCTTCTCTCCTTTACGCTTCTAGAAGTAGATTAGTGATACGTGGTAAGTAAATTTTGGTCCATTGAAATATTTGGCAATGTTTATTTGGATTTCGATTTTGCTAATCTACTATCAATGGTTTTGCAGTTAATATTGATTTTTTGATCAAGTCAATATACAGGTTCAAGACTGTTTCGAATACATTACTGATAAAAGAATAGTAGAATTGAGATCGAGGCGATATTGTGTGTATTTTTGAACTGTTTACAGCCGAGTACCTACAGAAAAATCTTTAAAAACTTTATTTACAACACAAACAACTTAATTCGATTAAAAAAAATAAAAGGTATTTAATTCGTAAAGAAATGACAAGCACACACAGCTCCCCAATACATACATATCTACCACATCTATAAATGCTTCCACGGACATCTTCACCCGTTTGAACAAACCTTACAATGAAATAACCATCTTCCATCACAGTAGGTTTTTTGAACATCATCAACACTAGAAGTAGCTACGCAATTTTAAATAACATTTTTTTTATAATACAACATAATATTTTCCATTTAAATACCTACACATTGAAATTTTATTATCTTAAACTAACCATTTGTATAGAATTTTACCAATTTATTCAAGCATGAATATTTAACAATAATATAATAATATCTAACTCACAATAAATACTTACACATCACAAAATCGTGCATCATAGCACAGCACTAGCACACACATAGTTGCGTTGAGGTATTTATTAAATTATTCAAATAATCATATGCACTTCAGAAAACAGGTGAAGAGTGTTTTTAAGTGTGATAAGTAGTTCCATTCAGCACTCCAAGTCATCAAAGATGGTTTTATTTTATTTTTGCAGAAAATAATCAAATTTTAATTGTTATTTCCAGGAAAATATATGTAATTTACACAATCCACTCGTCGCATCCGTTGGGTTCCACTTCAAATGAGAAGCTGATTCATTATATAATACTTCGTAATTTATCTAAATATATACGTATAATAAAAATTGTAACAATTAGACTTTAAACTATTGTAAAAAAAGAACGGAATATAACACAATATAATCGGCTGTTTTTTGAATAATACAATTATTCAAAATTTTAAAATTATTTAGATAGTAAAAATAAAAATAATTATTCGAATATAATTATTTAATTATTCAACGATGCTTAAAGTTGTCAAATATATTGTAACATGAGTGATGAATAATATTTATAAATTAATTACTATCCTTATACAAGGATATGATTAACGACTCTTAGTAAAAAGACCTTTTTTCTTTTTCATAGCTGACAAAATTATTAAAATTAAAGATTTAATGTGGCTGTCTAGAAAATTTATTTGCGTGCCTTGTAGATACTATCTATATATCTGATTCTATTTCATACGTTGTACTTGCTCATAATTATATTATACTTATATATTGATAATGTGTAGTTGTACTTCTGTCAGCTAAAAGCTCATAAAAATATAATCGGATTCATCCAAGTGTAGTGGAATCTTTCTGATATTGTAATATAGTTCTTAAACACATAATATTTATCTATATTCCTAATACTAATTCTTTGGAATTTTTCCTCATTGTATCGTATAACACCAAATAAAATAGCAATTGGTAGAAATAGGTGCGGAATTGAATTGACACTAGTAAGGCAAATAATAAATAATTATACAATTACATTATTTTCGCTTATTTTATAGTTTAAAATACAAATCTTATGAATAGAATTATGGTACTAATAAAATTAATAATTATATAATTATTTTAAAAGTCCAATAGTATTCATAGCGTCTTAGAAGTCAATTATTTGCAATTTACACTTTGCAATTATTATATTTTATCGGCTTAAAAGAGTCAATTAAAATTAAATTATTTATTAAAATGCTATATTTTTGTTACGCATTCATTTGTTGGACAGCGATTACATTGAAAATTATTTACCGCGGGGTCAATTTTAAATGTATTTTAGACTGAAGAAGTTTAAAATTCTGTAAGTGCTTACAGTTTTAGAGTGGCGTAATTTTATTTTTGGCAGGGTGTTTGTTAACGAATTAATTATTTGCAAACACAAAATAATGGCCTATATATTTTAAATACTAAGAATATTAGTACACGCAGTTGGTTTAAGGGATATGATGAGGTTGTATTTTCTCTGTAGGTACAATGTGAAATTGTAAGCAGTTACAAACCAAGGTGCCACTGACAATATTAGTTCTTTTATATAAACGAGTGTGATAATTAAATGAGAATTTGAATTATATATAAATATAATTATTTGACTATTCGGTGTTGTGCTAATCGCTTGTCTTTTCAATGTAGTTAATTATAATTACTTAACTACAAGACTTAAGAGGGAAGACATGAGACAAAATTCTATTATACACACAGTAGAAAATTATATTCTATCTATTTCATAGTATATCTCATAGGATATCTTATAGCATTCCTTGTAACGTGGTATACAAACTCTTCATGATAAAACCTCTAATGCCCCAACGGGTTGTGATGTTGCTCTCTGTTTGCGTAACCAATGTGAGAAATAAAAAAACATTAAATGTTAAGATTTCTTCAGTAAAACGTGAACATTGAGCAAATCTATTTCTTATTTGCAAATTATCTATTAATTACTATTTCTTGAATTTAAAAATTCGTCGATTGTTGCATTCTGCAACTTTAAAATTGTATTAAATTCAAATAATTATTCAAAAATTTAAATTTAAAATAATAATATTCAAATTTAATGACACGATTATTTATTTAAGAATTGAATGTTGTAGCGTGTTAAAATTATAATTATTTATTTAATAAATTATTTTATTCAAATACATTTAACGAATTT